AATAAATCAAACCATTTTCGTTTGTCGCTGTTCGGTCATGACAATTCTTCGTTGGAATCCATGCGCTTTGTTGATAATATCTTGGTAAAATCTTCCAAGATTTTTAATTCAATTTACTTATGTGTTTTATTGCATGTATTTTTAGGTGATTACGTTAACTCCTGACATCTTCGTCGCCAATATAATGAAATGATATTTTTTGAAGATTACATAGTCTTATGAGAAACATGCACTATTATGCAATTACTTGGAAGATACCATTCATTATCTCATTCACAATCGTGAAATGTATACCGGTTACCTAGCTCACAGTACGTCCCTGTATATCCCGATTCACACGCACAAAGAAAACCATCATCCACAATTTGACAATAAATAGAATTTGCAGAACAGGGATACGGTTCACAGGCGTTAATTGCTGTAACAATTTCAAACACAAGAAGTAAAGCGGAAGAATTGTTAATATAATTAAACATCCGACCAATGGCTTATTACTAAAGACGCAGTTTCATTGAACCGATATCTGCATGACCTTTTAGGCTTACCATTTTCACACCGCAAACCACTATACCCCTGTTTACAGACACATGTGTATGTGTTTAATGCGTCAATGCAGGTGGCCCCGTTTAAACACGGACTGGATAGACATTCGTTGGTATCTGGGAAAAAATATATTTGGATACAAGTTATTCTGAGTGATCGATTTTTTTTTACGTTCAATCTAATTATTCACCACATTGTCAGATAAATAGTATTGCTAGTTTCAGGGTGATATAGGAAAAATATGTGATAATATATTAGGGATGAGTAATAAGTGGAACATTCTATCTTGTTGTTACTTATGGTAACTATTATTTATTTTTTCTATCTTACTGAATTCACAGTGTGGTCCGCTGAACCCCTGTACGCAAACACACTCGTAGCCGTTGAGTTCTTCCAGGCAAGTTCCCCCATTTTGACAAATACTGGGACCACAGTTGCTGATAACTGCCAACAAAAAAACGTAACGAAAAGTAAGTATATAATGCATACACTATTACCAATCACAAGTAGCTTAGATTCTTGTGTCTGAACGATATCAGGCTTACCTAGTTCACAGTTCTTCCCACCATAACCAAACGGGCAGGAGCATGAATAGTCGTGAACGCCATCGACGCACGTTCCGCTGTTCAGACAGGGACTTGGCAAACAGTCGTTTATATCTATTGCGTAATGGGAACACTAGAACGTTATGTATTATACAAGATACATATGGCATTATGGCAAAATATGGCATTAAAGATTTTCACATGTAGCCCTTCGCCACTTGGGCTTTTAGTGTTCCATTTAAATATGACGTCATCATTTTGTAATTCATACACTTACTGATTTCACAATGGGTTCCAGTATATCCATTAAGACAAGCACAAAAATACTGTCAGGAATTATGTCGTGACACAACCCACCATTTAGACACGTGTCAGTGGTACAACTTGTCATAGCTGTAAACGTGAAGAGAAACTTACAATGAATATACAACTATATATGTATTATTCAACATAGTTACTTTAAGCTCATTGGTGGACAAATAGTAACTTGTATGACACATGGATGGTACTAGTACGTTCCGTGTATGAAGTAAGTACAATATTTCTGTTATCAAATATATTATTATTGAAGGAAGAATTAACATCAACTAAACAGAAATTAATACTGTAAAATTGCGATTGTTGTAAACATAATAGTAGTGTATGTTGTTATTATATTCCTGTGTACTTACTAACATCACATAGTTTACCCGCATAGCCATTTGGGCAGTAGCATGTGAAATCATTGATTGAATCAACACAGAGTCCGATATGACATGGGAATGGGTCACATTCGTTGATATCTGAAATTAGTCACAAAACACTTCAATTTATGCCGTGCACAACAATGTTACAAATATTAATATCTGGATACGACGACCTAGACACATGACTGATACATATTTGCATATGTGTGTACTCACTGATTTCGCATTGATCCCCTTCAAACCCAGCGACACATTCGCAGTGGTATCCATCACTTTCATCAACACAAGTACCCCAATTACGACATGGGTTCATCCCTGAACATCCACTTACAGCTAAACACGAGATGATTGACAAACAACATTATACTTTGCATGAAATACAACAATAATATTGTATATGAATAAGTCACAATTGTATATATTATGTTTTATATTTGATGTAAATGACTCACCAAATTCACATGTATCTCCCATGAAATCGGCAGGACAACTGCATGTGAATGAGTTCAAATAGTCTGTGCACACCCCGCCATTAATGCACGGATTTGGTGAACAATCGTCTATATCTGAAGAATTCACCAGAAAAAAGAAAATATTAGTATTTTTTATGGTACATATTTCACATCGATATGTTATAATATGCGGTTATTACGAGGGTACCTCAAAGGATGCACGAAGACAGTACAGCGAGAGTATCCACCGACGCGCAGCGAAGGTCGATGCGACGGCGTACTGTGAGTGCATATCTTGTGGTATCCTCGTAATAACCTTATTATTATCTTTTGCTTCCAAGAATACATCATGAGAATCCCGAAATCCAAATTGTTTAGAACAGAATCAGCGAACTTCTTCTGGTCACACCCACACCCCGGTGGCAGCCATGTTTGTTTTTATCCATTAGAGGACGCTTACACGCGTAATCATTCCATATTTGGAATTCGCATTTCCTAATAGGGTAGGATGAAAATACCCTGTAAAATACCGCAAAATTAGACACATTGTGACTTATGGCGATACGGTGACAGATGTATAATGATATAATATACTAGTTTATGCAATGTGCACTACGATATGAAATGCATGTACTCACTGATGTCACAGTGCTCTCCGGTATATCCCAGGAGGCAGAGGCATGTGTATGTACTCTCTGTCTCCACACACGTCGCACCATTGTGGCATAGCCCATCCAAACATAGTTGCACTTCTAAAACAATACAAACGAATATTGTTCTCATGTCACAAATTCTTTAAAACCCAACTTTTTTAGATTATATTCTTGGAAAAAAAGAGAGTATTACCGTTTTGACAAGTAGTTCCACTATAATCACTTGGACAAATACATGTGAACTTGTTAGTTCCGTCAATGCATGTAGCTCCATTATCACAGGGGTCACTGGCACACTCGTCAACGTCAGTAACTAATTCTGCATAAAATACAATTATGTGTTAGCGAATGCGTTTATAACTATGAACTGACATACTTATTTAGGTAACCTTAGTAGTTTATGTATGTGGCAACACATCATGTGCATCATACACACTTCTACATTCATTATATGTCAGCTCTCGAGCAATCATCACTCATAACATGAATAGGCAAGCAATCAGCGAAAATAAAAAAAAAATCCCTAATTGCTTCAGAAGACGTAGATGCTGGGTTGTATGTGTTTTTGTTTCATTGACCATTATCTAAAATTTAATAGTAGATAACTGATAGCCGGGTCTATAGATTTTAGATAGATATTATATAGATACAGTAGTATACCGGCTGTAACTTTTGATAAAATTCCAATTATTGATTCAATTTTGCACGCTGCGCATGTTGAACTCTCGAGCTGAATCGATTTTCGCTGTGATAGGACATGCACATTATCATTTATGAGCATCATGCAGCCAATCAGTTACCTGTCATGAAACACAAGGATTCAAATACAGCCAATCGACTAGCACGTAACATTATAAACTCTACATACCAGTTTCACAATTTGTTCCCGTGTAACTACTAGAACACGTACAAGTATACATGTAATCGCCATCGACGCACGTGCCTCCGTGCATGCATGGTCCACTTAGACACTCATTGATGTCGACGGGGATGACTAGATGTAAAACAATGTGTAATATATTCATATATTTGCTACTACGAATGACACAAGCATAAGTTGCAACGTTGATTCTAGACATTGTATAGAAACATCATATATTCTACAAATGTAATGACGTAATAGACATACCATGTAGTGCCGATACACATATTGTTAATTGATAGTTTATGTGCCATACCTGTTTCTCAATTGACACAAACTGTTCAGCAGGATTATGTGTCAACACCTTAGTCATATTGTGGATTGCGTGATGTGTGCATTTACCTGTTTCACAGTAAACACCCATAAAACCGTCCGAACACTGACAGCTATACATGTTTACAGCATCGATGCATGTCCCAGAGTTTTGACAAGGACCACTAGCACATTCATCGGTATCTGCAATGCAAACAAATAAATAAATAAATAAACGAATCAATAAAAATATTGTTTGATGGTACACATTTAACTTGATGTATATTAATTATCCCACATTTGGTATAGCAGAAAGCTGTATGTATATTAAGCACGTCATTCTTTTCAGATTGGCGTACTGAATTATGCAGATGGAAAAATATGTTCGCGTAAAATACCCATGGACATAAATTCATACCTGTTTCACAGTTTGTTCCTTCATAACCAGGAGGACAGCGACATTCATAACCATCACCGGTATTTAGACACGTGCCACCATTCTCACATGGACCACTTGCACAATGGTCTTCCACTGAAAAATAATGTTGGGATACAAAGTACGTTATTCAGATATTAAGATCACCTTGTATACAGAATCAATGATTATCGTTGTTGTATTATTTTACTTGTTTTAATTTTGCTAAATACATTCGTCTATGTTAACCCAGCAGACACATATTTTATATTTCCATCTTAGTAAATTATTTTAACTAATGAACAATGAAAACACGAGTGTCTTTACCAGTGGTGCATACGTCATTGACATATCCAGATGGGCAGTAACATTCATATCCATCATTGCTGTTGTTGTTAATACACGTAGCTCCTTCCTTACATGGACCACTCGCACAAAAGTCGATGGCTGTAAATCAATAATACGATCTGTGAATGATTGATTGTGTTGATTTCTATTTTTCCCCTGAATTAATAATTAAACGTCCTGATTACATTAAATAGTGTTGGTTCCGTAATAGAAAGTCAGTATGTATTCAGAAAACTAGATTTAGGAATTTATGTGTAAAATTTCAATGAAAAAAAGCAAATATTTACGCAAATAGAGTATCGAACATACCCGATATTGGATATTCTTGAATACACATACGGGACTCTGCCCAATAAAGTATAATACGGAAGATTCTGCAAAGCTAGCGTAAAGGCTAATTTTGAGCGTAATGCACTACATGCGCCTGTTTGATTTTGTTTTCGGTAAACAAACAATACAATTTACACGGGTTGCATACGTCATATGAGACCTCTATCGAGCACGAATTTCCATATTTAGTAGGATCAGGCTTTATTATACAAAACAATATAATACGCATGTAAATATATTATATGCAAATATAATAAAAAAATCGTCCTTACCTACGTCACATGTATCACCTTCCCATCCCTCTGCACAGTCACACGTGTACATATTGACGCCGTCAAAGCACGTGCCGTCATTACGACATGGTCCGCTAATGCATTCATCAATATCTGCAAACAATAATACACATGACAGACAACTGAATAATGGACCCCTAACTCGCAATGTCATTGTGAAATTAAATTGAAAAATATTGCAGGAATTTATTAAAGTTCGCCAAACTCAATCACTGTGTATTTATTGCAGCATACCCTACCTGTTTGACAGTTGACACCGGTGTATCCACTTAAACAGGTGCACGTATACTCAGTATCGCCATCCTCACAGATTCCGCCATTTTGACATGGTTCACTTAAACAGTAATTTTCATCTACAGGAATAACTAAGTAAAATATTAAGAAATTTGACTTACTTTATTCATAACAGAATTACCCGAGATTTTGTGAACATGTTTTATCCAGATTTAGTTCTGAAATACTGTGTTGATTGTTTCCTGTTAAGCACTGTATTATATTAGTACAGCTATGTTTCCCTATCATATAACTGCACCGGTTATTGACGCCAAAATTTGGCTCAGTTAACATCATAATTTCTTTTAGAATTTAATCTCAGGAAAGCGGGTGAATGTTTTTGGATGTTAATTACGTTCTGGGAAACCCATTGTTACGGCTTTTTCGTATTTAAAGACATCGCCACACTCACTGATCCATTAACACAATGCAACAACGTACATTAAATGTAATTGACTTTACCTATTTCACAGTTAACGCCCTTAAAACCATCCCTACACTGACAGCTATACCTGTTCACATCGTCAGTACATATGCCAGCATTTTGACAAGGACCACTAGCGCATTCATTTATATCTACAAATAACAAGTTATATTTGTCTTCATTAACACAGAACTACGCCTTTATTGAGCTAATAATCTCAACAATGTGGTGTTTACAACCATTCATTGACTAGCGTATGAAATCCTAATAATCGGTTGGTCTTACGGACGGGGATTACACCAATGCAATTTAGATATATAAGTGTCTTTTGTATTTCGAGAGTAATGGTATATATATTCATAGTTCCAGGCCCGTTGGCACTTAGTGCACAGCATGTACATTATGTGTAAAATTATACACATAATATATAAGTTGTATATCGAAAGTCAAAGTTTATTGTTACAGTGTTCTTCGAGAATGGATGCTGAATCAGTGCACATGTACACAGCTGCAACCGGGATCCGTAGACCACCATGCATCTTCCGAAATACTAAGAAGTCGTACGCAACAGATAAGAACACACACACAACATGCTACAGTCACAACAAATAAATGTTTTTGGATACCGTGAGTGTATTATAAATATAGTATTACCAAAGTCGAATGCCAAAATATTAACGACAAGTATGCCCATGCCATACCTGTTTCACAGTTTGTTCCTTCATAACCAGGGGGACATCGACATTCATAACCATCGCCGGTATTTAGACACGTGCCACCATTCTCACATGGCCCGCTTGCGCAATGGTCCTCCACTGATGAAGCAACATAACAATAAAGACAATCATTCCGGAGTGAGCAATGTCAATGATATAAAATAAAAGACAACACAGGTATGCGTCCCTGTGTGGAAGTTTTAATTACCTGTGGTGCAAACGTCATTGACATATCCCAATGGGCAATAACATTCATATCCATTATTGCTATTGATACACGTAGATCCTTCCTTACATGGACCGCTCGCACAAAAGTCGGTAGCTGTAAATAAAAATCAACATTTGCGAATGATTATTTCTTCTAGTGTATATAATTCGAGATGTGTGTTTGGTATCAGAAAGACCAGTATATGACGTCATATCCAGGTTAATACTATTTGAGAACTGCAAGAGGCATACCACATAGAACAGTGTGCATACAATGTTACAAATATATCAATTTGTCACAGTGAAGTGATATAATATACGTATTTGTTCATCGGTATTTGTACATTCATCCATATCTGCGAGCATCAAAGCACATGGCAAATAATTTCAACACGAGACCTGTCTAATGATCTACCAAGTTAGCTTGCGATGTTAAATTTAAATTATAAACAGCAGTGTGGTTCGAATATAAGAGGTTGTTCGAACAAATACTCGCACTTATACAACCACTAAATGACTCGGTCTTTAAGACGACGCAACACTGGCTGACCAAACTGAAATAACAAAACTACTTCATTTCGAATCACTGCTTTGCATTCGAGTATGCAATTATTGTAGCAATTATATGTGGCTATCATATGATAAAACATGTACGATTATTGATTTAACTTGGTTAAAACTGAAACAGTGGGGTTTGTATGTGTAACATATTGCACCTGTTTGACAGTTTACACCAGTGTATCCACTTAAACAAGTACAGGTATACGCTGCATCGCCGTCTTCACAGGTTCCGCCATTTTGACATGGTTCACTTAAACAGTCATTTTCATCTACAGGAATAACTGAATATAATACAAGAAATAACAGTGCAGATTCGGAATTACCCGAGACAAAATATGGTTTACAATATTGCACTATAATTCATAATCCCACACAATAAATAGATAATATGTATATTTCAATAATTGCAAAAATTGATTTTCGAAATTTCAGATTTTGGTTCGACTATATTTTATGCACAACAAATAATAGAATTAGTTCACCAAATGGCGCAAATCATGTGAAATCAAACCATCTGAACAAGACGTTTTTGATTATAAATATACATTACCTATTTCACAGTTAACGCCCATGAAACCATCTGCGCAATCGCAATATACCTGTTCACAGCATCAATACATATGCCAGCATTTTGACAAGGACCACTAGCGCATTCATTTATATCTGCGAAATGAAATTTTGTCCCGGAAAACTCAAAAGTTAATAAACTACCGCATTATTGGTTAACCATCAAAGCATGCGATGTTTACAGCCAGTCATTAACTTAGATTTTAATTTACCTAGATTTGGGAAGGATTTTTACGAGCACTTAAACCCACTATTAATGTGTATCAAGTATACACACAATATTAGTTACCCATACCTGTTTCACAGTTTATACCTTCGTACCCAGAGGGACAACGACAATCATAACCATCACCGGTATTTAGACACGTGCCACCATTCTCACAAGGGCCACTTGTACAATGGTCTTCAACTGGTATGGAGTATTTGAAAAACACAGTTATAGTTAACTTTTTAAACGACAAAGTAAAAAATAAATATAATAAAAGTGCAATAAAATTTACCAAACCCACAACATTAATACATTATTTAATACATTGGTACATTAATTTATTGAAATTGGCAATACCGAATAATATTAATAATGTAGTTAACCTAAGTTACAGCATTATGAATGCGTAAGTTGATGTATATAATTACCTGTAGTGCATACGTCATTAACATATCCAGATGGGCAGTAACATTCATATCCATCATTGCTATTGTTGTTAATGCACGTAGCTCCTTCCTTACATGGACCACTCGCACAAAAGTCGATGGCTGAGAATAAACAAACAATAACGATATATCTACAAAATGTTCCAGTCTACACTTTAGCCACACTATAGGTTTTATTCAGTGAATCGTCACTAGTTACCGTCCCTTAGTTTGAATAATATAACATCGCACCAACTGTTTAGAGTGTGCATGCCCTATTTTTTGTCACACTCGCACGTTTCCTATGTGATACCTAATCATGCAGCTCGACTCGTATATAAATCTCATAATGTGCACGTGTTTCTTGTCACTCACCGGTTTCACAAAGCTCTCCTTCCCATCCAGCTGCACACTCACACGTAAATCCATTGACCCCGTCGACACAAGTCCCTTCATTACGACAAGGCCCGCTAACGCATTCATTTATGTCTGCAGAGACCAACATACAATATTACAAATTGATATATTATTATTGGACGTGATGCACTTCAGATATCATGAAATGTAAACCAGACACAGCAATCATTAAAAGAAGGGTAGGAAGTATTGTTATGATTACAGATAGCTGTGTCATACATACCTGTTTGGCAGTTGGTTCCTGTATAGCCACTGGAACACGTGCAAGTATAACCATCGTCAACATCGGTGCAAGTTCCGCCATTTTGACAAGGTTCTTCTGAGCATGCGTTCACCACCACCACAACTAATAATAATTAAGAATAGGTTGTTTGAATATCTAGTTGCAAATTAACGAGACCTTTTGAGGGGTTCAAATTTACGGGAGTTTGTTACGTCATCCTGACTTAAATATTCACCGCCATCTTTGATCTGAACAAATTGTGCCGGCCGGTATCTCTGATGTTTCCAATCACAGTTGGTCAGCATTTCGATGTAAACGAGTCGGAGGCAATATCGCCTAGCTGAACAATGGCGCCATTATACCGACAAAATATCCGAACCACGAGGTCGACAATCTGTTCACGCACATCAACAAACCATTTGTAACTGAGCTCAGCACAGCTCCAATTCCTTTAACGAAGGCTTTGAGTCCACACACACCAAAGCTCAGATATGTGCGTAGAATAACATAATTTTATTTTTTTAATGTATATGCCAGATAATGCTTAAAGCGGGAGAGTCGTCACCTGCGCATGCGTCAGCTAGCCATAGCCTGTCATTGTTTACAAACAAGCGTCTACCCATGAGCCTTTGCGTTTTTAGCGTGTGTTGTTATCGTCGCTTGGGATTCGATTACTCAGGTGACGACCCTCCCGCTTTAATAAGCATTTATAAAGAGATACGTAGGGATTTTAACAAACAACACAACCTTCAAAAAACAGCAAAAAGACTAAACAACTTCAACAACTTGTAGCTTGGTACAATTACTTAGAGTTAAGTTAATTAGAAACATATAATTATTCATTCCAAATTAATCAGTTAGAACTGTCGATCATTGTCTGTTTTCAGTCGACATGTTTAGAGTTCAGCCATGTTGAACAATCTCGCACATAGCGGGCGCTGTATTCCCGTTTCAGCGAAATACAAGAGATCCTATTCAATGTAGGAAAATATGAAACGATTAAAAATTAAAAACTTTGTTTTTTGAAAATATTGTACTATTTATATATCGGCACATTTTATCCAGCAAAACTAGGCAATAACTCTCATCCGATAAAACAAAAAAAAAACAAGCAAAGAAACATTAGACGAGTGCGACTTTCAGCAATTTTTGTACGGCTAGATTTTCACGGAAAGTACAAAAATCTACTTTCCACAACATGAAAAGCCATAATTATACCTGTCTGGCAGTTGACCCCAGTGTATCCTTCCGTGCAAGTACATGTGTACATATTGATGGCATCTTCACATGTAGCTCCGTTTTTACATGGATTGCTGTCGCATTCATTGATATCTGTATGCAAATGAAATAGAATGCAAGTAATGAAGTAAAATATGATGTTAAATAGTCCACAATGTACAATCTCTGAATCTGTCAAATATGTTGTCCATACGTTCACATGCGATGCAGTTCACAATGATTCCCAATTCTTGTGAATTTGTTTGTTGTATAAGAATTCATTGGAACAAAACGCTAAATACCTATTTCACAGTTAACGCCCATAAAACCGTCTGAACATTGACAGTTATACATATTCATAGCATCGATGCATGTCCCAGAGTTTTGACAAGGACCACTAGCACATTCATCGGTATCTGTAATGTGAACATAAATGTGGAAAAATCGCCGTTTTGAAAGTTTTTGTTTGTCTTCAGTTACTTCGTTCATTTACCAAATAGAAAATTCATACCTGTTTCACAGTTCGTTCTTTCATAACCAGGGGGACATCGACATTCATAACCATCACCGGTATTTAGACACGTGCCACCATTCTCACATGGACCACTTGTACAATGGTCTTCAACTGAAATAAAAAAAAAAAACGACTGTTATGAAGTTTGGAACATGACAATAAACGCGCATTTATATATATATATATATATATATATATATATATATATATATATATATATATATATTAAAATATGTATTTACTTTTGTAAACAATTTTAGTTGACAAGCGTGTATAGTTTTCTTAACTGCTCTCTATATACAAAATATACATTGAATATTTGCTGCATGCTATTTTTTTCTCACTCAAACTCCATCAAGATATTAGATACATATCTAGTATACTCTAATCATATAGCTGCCTCACAGATCAGAGTACACGGTACTTACACTTAAAATAAACATTTACTATTATGCCAGATAATATGTGTTGTACGGCGATGTCTATCTGTTGTGCTTGTGTTGGCAGTAGGATGTATTCTTAGCTAACTCGTTAACTACGCATTGTAGTATTATTCATCACAACATTGAAGTGAAAGATGCATGCGGGTTTCACTCATCAAACTATAATTACCAATGTAGTTTACAATAATCATTAATAGTGCTACAAACTATTCTGTGACAGGCCTACATAGTCGACAATATGTATAACATGAAACACAGAAACCGGCATGTTAATTAACTGAAATAAGCAATAGACGAGAAAAATCATTAACATATTCTACTTACCAGTGGTGCATACGTCATTAACATATCCAGATGGGCAGTAACATTCATATCCATCATTGCTATTGATACACGTAGCGCCTTCTTTACATGGACCACTAGCACAAAAATCGGAAGCTACACAAGTATATAATTATGTATTTTATTATAAACCAATAAATATACCCTGGGAAGATCATATTTATATGTTGGCATGTCAGGTTTGTGAATGAAATCAAACAATGTCATAAACTACTCATTTACATAGACAAATAGTGTTTCTTTCACAAGTAGTACCTGTAGCGCAATATTCTCCTTCCCAGCCTGCTGCGCACTCACACCTATATCCGTTGACGTCATCGATACAGGTTGCACCATTCTGACACGGGCCACTGATGCACTCGTTTATATCTGGTCGGAAATTAATAATAACAGTAATGTCATTTATGTGACAATTACACAGGTGTTATTTGTCGGTGCAGTTCTTCATCGCAATTGGCAAAATGACAGGCTGTGAAGGTTTGTGAACAAAA